TATTGTGGTGGTCATGATGATCATGATTATGGCTTTTATGACTGCCACAGTCATTAAAGCCATAATAATAGTTATAATAATAATGAGTAGTGATGTGATGTTATGGTTATAGCTATTATTATGGCTATAGTTATTGTAAGTTATACAGCTTCTGTTATTATTGTTGTGATTATTATGGTTGTAATTATAGTCGTAATTGTTATGGCTTTGGTTATTATCATTGCAGTTATTATGGTTAGAATTTAGTTCTTAATTATATCATTGATTATCATTGTTGTGGTTAGAATCTAAGTTATTAATATTACAGGTTTCATGATTATTGTGGTTATAATGGTAATTATTGCAGTAATTACTGTTGGTTTTATTGGCGGTGTTATGGGTATTGTGCTTATATATGGTTCTTAATGGCTTTATTGTAGCTGTGGTTGTTCCAGTTTTAGTGACAGTTCTTTATAATCCGGGTTTGATTGTTGCCATTGCTCCTGTGGTTCTTCTGGTTGGAGGGATAGTTATTCATGTCCTGGCTTCTATTACAATTGCTGTGGTTATTATGCTTATAGTTAGCCATTGTTATGGCTTTTATTGGTGTGGTTATTATGGCTGTCATGATGGTTATTAATATTAGGCTTTTATTAGTGTTGGTGTGGTTATTATGGTTCTAACCCTAATATTATTATTATGGTTCTAACCCCAATAGATATCCTGGATCTAACCCTAATCCTAATCAATAATAGTATCGTTGTGGTTATTATGGTTCTTATAGTTATTAATGTTCTGTTTTTTGTTACTATCATCATCGTATTATGCTTATAGCTTATATGGGGTGTGTGTGTGTATCTGTGCCTGTCTGTTGGTCTGTCTATCCCACATACCTGCTTTATTGATCAGTCAATCAAACTATTTATCCCATATACCCGCTTGCTCTGTCTCGCTATTTATCTATCCATCCCGTAGTATTATAGATGTAATATTATACATCTATAATATATATTAACCATATTATCTGTGTTCTATATTATCTATAATATATTTAATAGTATAGCTATAATATAATGCATTATAACTATACTATTATCGTTAATATTAACTATATTTAAAATATATAATATTATATATATACACGTACATATATACTTAATATCATCATTGATATTATGTTTTTTTATGTTCATTGTTGTGGGTATCCCGGTTATCCTTATAGTTATATACATTATGGATTTTATTACCATTCTGGTTTATTAGGCCTACTATGGCTTTGCTCATTGTTTTAGTTACAATATTATAGTTATAGCAAGAGTAGTTATTAGGGATTTTATTATTATTGTGGTTTTTCTGGTTATCATTATAATTATTAATATTATGGTTTTTATTGTCAGCATAGTTGTGGTTATATAGTTATGCTGTGTATAGTTATACATATATGGGTATAGGTATAATATTATGGCATTTATTCCTGTGGTTATTACAGTTATTGCTATTAATATGGTTTTTATTATCATGATGATGGTTGTGGTTATTATAATTATAGTTAAAAGGATAGCTTTCATTACTATAGTGGTGGTTGCTATCATTCTAGCTATGTGTTTTATTGTTGTGGTTATTATGGGTATTGTTACAGTTATAAATATTTGTTATTCTCATTGTGGTGTACCAGTTATTATGGCTTTTCTCATTATCCTTTTGGTGATTATGGCTGTAGTGATCACTGTTCCTATGGCTTTTTATTATTGTTGTTGTGGTTGTTATAGTGATTAATTTTATGGCTTTTATTATCATCGTTGTTGTGGTTCTTATGGTTATAGTTGTAGTTAATATGGCTTCTGTTATTATTGTGGTTCTTATGGTCATAAATACAGGTAATATGGCTTTTTATCATCGCAGTTATTATAGTTAATATGGCCTCTATTATATTGTAGGTCTTATGGTTATAATTAACATGTCTTCTATAATTGTGGTGCTTATGGTTATCATTAGAATTAATATGGCTTCTATTATCATTGTGGTTCTTTCTTATAGTTAAAGTTAATATGGTTTTATTATCATTGTGGTTATTATACTTAACATGGCTTCTATTATTATTGTGCTTATTATCAGAATAGGTAATATTATGGCATTTATGATGATTGCGGTGGTGATTATGGTTATAGTTACCGTTATGGTTTTTATTTTTATCGTGATTACAGCTGTAGGCATAGTTAGTCTGGCCTTTATTAGGATGGTTAGGGTTATTATAGTTATTTTCTGGCTCTCAGTAGCATTGTTGTGCTTGTTACAGGTATAGGTAGAGTTATGAACAGGGTGGCTTTTATGATGGTCGTTGTGGTTGTCATGGTTGCAGTTATTAAGGCCAAAGCCAATGGCTTTTATTATTGCCGTTGCTGCTGCTCTGGTGATTATGGCTATTGTTCTTCTAGGATTACTCGTACGATTCTGGTCACTAGGATGCTGCTTTTTGCGTGTCCTTTTGCGATGTCTGATGGAGTGAACTTGGCTCTCGCTCCCTCTCTCGCTGTCTTATTCAGCGAGTCTCTAAAGCTATGTCTCTACCTCGCTTTACAGTAGAGGTGTAGCTAGGCAAGATGGACCTAGGGTCTGACCCAGTCCATAGCAGCTCTGATGTTCTTATCATACATAAAGGGGGAGGGAGGACAGGGATGGATGGATGGATGGGGGAGGTATATGGGATACATTGAGGGACAGATGGATAGATAGAGCAGGTATATAGAATGGATGGATACATAGGGCAGGTATATGGGATGGGTAGATGGACGGATGGGGCAGGTATGCGGGACAGATGGAAGGATAGATGGAGGGGGTGAGGGGTGGGTGGGTGAATAGACAGAAGGGGTCTCTGGGGCTAGATGGATAGATAGATGGGTAGAGGGGTTGAGAGGTGGGTGGGGGGATAGCCTGATCCATCCATTCATCCCATATACCTGCTGTATCTATCCATCTATCATTCCATCTATGCCATATACCTGCCCCATCCATCCATCCATCCTAGCATGCACAACCCCAGTGTCCTGGCTGGACTGATTCCCCGCCGCCTTCCTCCCAGCCTGGCACCCTATAAAAACTTTTGGCTTATAATTTCCCTAGGGTTTTTTTCCCCCTCTCCTGCATCAAGCAGGTTGTTCGGTTGCCCAGTTGCTCCACCTGCTCCCAGAAGCAGGTCATCCAGCGGGGTTTCCTGCGGGGGAGGTTTTGGGGTGTATTGATCTCTGAGTCACCCTGAAACTGGACCTCGATCACCAATTGATGTCGGGGTGGCCTTTTTGGCGCTATGAGCTTTCCACATTGCTTCTGTCCTCACCTAGAGAAGCTGTGACTTTTCCCTTATCAGTTTGGAGATGGTCCCAGCGAAGGTTTTTCGGGGCAGGGGTGGTGGATGTTATCAAGGGTGGAGCTTTGACAACCACGGGCTGGCGGTGATGTGGGTATGGCCTAGGGGACTTGTGGGCTCTCCATCACTGAAGGAATTCAAGAAGAGCTTGGACAGCCACAGGCTCGGGGTGATGCAGGTATAATGAGGCCTAAGGGAGTTGTGTGCTCTCCATCCTTAAAAGGTCTTTAAGAAGAGCTTAGATAACCATGGACTGGGGGTGATGCAGGTGTAGCCAGTCCTAGGGGAGTTGTGAGCTCTCCATCCCTGGAGGCCTTCAAGAAGAGGCCTACATTTATTGCGCAACTCACCAATGAGTGGTGTAATGTATGTAACACGTGTCAGGGGCCCTATTTTCTGGCCCTGTTGGCTGGTTTTTAACCCTAGCTAGAAAGATTAACTCAGGTGCGATGTCTGGTGTGGTGTCAGGGTTGTCAATAGTCTTACAACGAGGTTGGATGATGGATTTGTCTGGGCTGGTTTGGACAGGGCCGATCCAGCCTCGGGCTGGGGGTTTGCCTAGGTTTAACCTCCAGAGGTCCCATCCAGCCCCTCGGCTCTACAGACATATTGGGACACCTCTTTATACATGCACAGTGCATCCACACCTTGAAGACAGCACCTGGGTTTGGTCCCCACAACTTTAAACAGGGGAGAAGAGCTGGAGAAGGTCCAGAGAAGGGCAACAAGGATGATTGGTGGGATGGAGGGGTACTGGAAGGGAGAGTGAGATGGATGGATGGAGGGACCTGTCCATCCACTCATCCATCAGCCTGTCCATCCGTGC